CTTTACCTGTTCTGATTTTTGGACAGGCGATTAGGAAGTACACATTAAACATGTAATTAATAAACCAGCGGATTGTAATGCAATACTTTTAGAAATGCTATACAATTGTAAGAAGCAAACAAGTTGAAAATGGAATTTAGTGTGAAGTTGAAAAGGACAACTAAACACTGTAGTGCTTAAATGACATTTAAATTAAAATAAAAACGATGTGCTCTGGCCTCTACATCTTTACCTTGTAAATAAAAAAATCTAAGAAATACACTATTAATTGCTGAGGATTTTAACCAATTTTTTTTTAATGAGACATATCCAAGAGAAATAAAAATACAAATGACTTATATTTAATTGTCTGTATGCCCACTATGATATAACACGAAGCAATTCTAAATAGCATTCTCAAATGTACAATGTATTATGTTTGAAGTTTATTTGCCTGGATTTATTCTAGAAATATTTCGTTGATAGTTTTTTTTTCTATTTACATATCATTTCTTAGAATAAATCGATAAGGACACTGATTTACAAGTTTGACCAGTGTTTTTAGGCATAAATTTCATTCTGTATTTAAGTGCTTGAAAGTAGAAAATCTGAATTTTATCAATTTAGGACACAAAATATATTGCTCTACAAATCTCGAACTTGTATGGAACAAATTTTCTCTGTTATATATTTTGTGTTTTGTTTTTGTTTTGTTTTGTTTTTCTAAAAGAAGCCTTGGTGTCTCTCCGGTTGCATGTCCGTCGCATTCAGTGCTGCAGCACTTTGATTTAATGACCTAGTCTGACCCATCAGTGTGTTTACATGCCTATCTATAAACCCATAACAACTCATGTAAAAATTGCAGACGAAGAATGATAATACTATGATTAAACAATTCGTAAAAATTGCCTACTTACAGATTGCAATTATTTGTTTTAATATGTTTGCATTTCATTTCCTGCAAAATTCTCCAGTTCGTTGCGACACGAATGACCGTTTCGGTAAACTAAAACTACTTCTATAAATAGATTTCCGGACTTTCACAATGTTTAGGTCATCATTCTATTTATAGGTAAAGCAATAACACACATAATTACCCACTGTGTACTACAAAATGATTAATAAAAATACCGAAGAGCGCGATTAATTGACGGATAAGATAATTTCATTTGAATATGTTTACATTGCGAAATTATCCATTTCGCTATTCATTTTACATATCGCGACATTTCATTTTTGATAATCAAACACTCATACCAATCGGAATGTTCGGCTATTATGGCCGACGAATAGGCTCGAGAAGTTGCAATTGCCCTTTCACAAAATCTGATTTCATTCCATAAAGGCGTCGCGTATAAACAAGGTTAACAGGCCGTAGTACGTACAAACTGACCGATTCGATAAAAAAAAGATATAGTCAAAATTATTGTCTGATTGGCCTTGGAAGGTGACTTTCTAATATGATCCTAAAGACAAGTTCAAAGTGAATATCTTCAAAGTATTTTCAAAGATTAATGTTGCATGTAAAAGTAAGTTATTAAGTTTAAATAATTAATAATATATAAATGTATTCTGATTGATTAATTATCTCGTGGCCACGACTTAGTAACTCGTGGCCACGACATAGTATCTCATGGCCACGACTTAGCTATCTCGTTGCCACGACTTAGTAACTCGTGGCCACGAGATTCTTAACCCATTACTGCATGAGCATTTTGTGAAAAATAGCTGTTTTTATTGAAAAGTCTCCCGTTACAAGTTCAAATTACTATAAAACTATAAAAACTGCTCCAATACTAATCAAACTTGGCACAAATGTTGACTGGGCCATTGCCTTTGTAACAACATGCTCAGTCTTAAATTTCCTGTTACCATGGCAACGAGGGGACATCTCAAAATTGCAAAAAAAATCACTATTTTGCGTTGATTTTTTCATCAAAATTGATTTCAAAGTGCTGCAACTTCTCAATGGAATCAGACAGAGTCAAAGGCTTTTCAGCGTTGGTAACACGTTACCTTATGATCGACCTGGGGTCATTTATAGCTTCTCACAAGTCAATGAGGTAAAGGGTTAAGTCGTGGCTACGACTTAGCTATCTCGTGGCCACGACATAGTATCTCGTGGCCACAACTTAGTTATCTCATGGCCACGACTTAGTAACTCGTGGCCACGACATAGTATCTCGTGCGCAAGAGATAAATAAAATCACACACATGTCACCTTTGTGTCACCGTAGAAAACCGATAAATGATAAATAAAATATAGTAAATATCAATTTACTTGCAAATACATGTAAACCAATTTCTGTTTAAATGACTTATAACAAGTAGGTTAGGAAAACATTCATTAGTGTAGCGCAAAGCTACAGCTGTAAATTCATTTCAAACCTATTTCACAATTTTCGAGTTTCCGAAATATTTGGACCACATGAACAACCAAAATGTCCATTTCATTCGATCAGTAAATGCCTTAAAGTAAATGTGTTTTGGTTGCCATCTCGTAACTTCCCGTTTTGAAATCAAAATGACTTTAACGTTTGTCATGGTATCAGTCAGGTATAACATGTAATTTCATGAAAGTAACTTCTTCTATTAGAAAATGTTAAGTATTCTTAAATATACATTGATATGTAAGGAATGATATATTTTCAATTTGTGGCCATTTTGGACGCCATCTTGAAACTAAAAATAAAATGACACGAGTGAAATTTAATGCAAACGATTATTTACGTCACGAGACATTTTATATTTTGATTCATCGAAATCTTACAGAAATATTTACGGATTATTGTAAGGTTTTACAAAATATATGTTTTTATATAAAACCAAAAAACGCTGCATTTCTTAAATGACCGCCATATAAAAAAAGAGATAATTTCGTATTTTCAAAAAAATAGCTTTTATGCCTGTTTAAAAAAAAATCCTACCACATACACCTGCATTTTATCTAAATATGCACCGTTGCACCGTTTACATCTTATGACGTATATAGCATACATGTGGGCTGTACACGTTAGTTGAAAACGTATACAGCTTACAAAGATTTTTGTTTTTTTAGCTTGAACATATATATTTACCTCGATTGTGAAACGAGTTGTTGCAACTTACATAAATCACTTTCGAGTCCACTAACTAGTACGTAAAAGTCGTAGTCGTAGAAATACTCGTAGTCGTATAACTTGTGTAGTCGTCATCGTAGTCATTGCTGTAATCGTATTCATTAATGGTGTAGAAGACGTAGTGATCGTCGCCGAATTTAAAATGTAGATGTGGTCATCGTCATTGTCGTGGTCGTAGTCATTGGCGTAGACGTAATTGTTCGGACGAAAAAGAGAGGATGATCACAAGTTTAGTCATCTTACAAAATGAGGTATATACGGTGATATGCAGCATCTTGGCGTATACAGCTAACGGTAAGCTGCTTTCGATGTAAGCTGTATACAGCTGTAAATATTATCTAATGTAACCACATCAAACTTATTTATGTATACATATATCTTACATTAAGGCCTTCTTCCTATGACACACATAATGGAATATAGAATTTAATTAATTGCAAATTGGAAAATAAGCAGAGCGATCACCTGCTTGTGGTATCCGACTTCATATATTTCACCTAGTAATTCATTCTTTATTGGCATTATCAACGACATAAAACTTTAAAATATTACTAAAATTTATTTTTATTTGTTTGATTTTTATGACCCTAAAGTGCGGTCGTTTCTTTAATGCATATGTACCTGTGTAACGCATTTTGGGGGCAAAATTTGAACCCAAAGTGCATAACGCACTTAAGGGTCGGACCCCAAAGTGCGTTTGACCCCAAAGTGCGATGTTATACAGCTTCACATTTCAGTTTACCATACAATATAGATCTTATTGTGGACTGGTAATCAGGTGTAAAAAAATATCGAGTCAGATACAGCTTGCCAAAGATCAAATGTGGAACAGAATTCCTAGTCATATTAATATATTGAGTTGTAAAATTGCACTAAATTCTCTTGTTGGCTCGTCTTTTAATATAGATTGAATGTTTAACTGGATGTTGAGCTACGTTCACACCTCAGCTCGCCATTCAAATTATTACAATTTCTGTGCTGGTAGTCGAGCCAGCTTCACATGTCAGCGCGCCGAATTATATAAATCTTTTAAGATAAAGACATAACTAAAATATTCATTTATTTTAGGTTTATTGGTTAATGGCTTAAATGCTGCAAATCAAATTTCATTTACAATTATTGATAATGATATAACTGCATCCACTTCAGTTTACAGTGTTAACGTATGTTTACAATTAATAAATTCCTCACTTGCTCCTCACCGCTGTGGGTTCGAATCCCGACAGGGACTTTGGATTCTTTCATGTGAGAAAGCTGTCCAGCTAGCTTACGGAACGTCGGTGGTTCTACTCAGGTGCCCGTTCGTGCATGAAATAATTCACGGAAGGTAACCTGAAAACAAACAAAAAAAATCCTTTTAGACCTTATTAGAAATGATAAACTGCACTAACCATATTGATAGATTTGTTTAATACAAGTCTTCTCTTTGACTATAATTTTGTGTCATCTATATCGATCTACATAAATTATAAGCTCTGGCTCTAGATGAGTATAAAATTCATTTTCTCCATCTTTCATAGACAGTAGTATAGAAAATACCAATTCTTTTTTTCATACTATATAAATATAATGCATATACTTTAAAAAAATATACTAAATCTACTTGCATGTTCTAAATTTAAGACGCATATTATCTTTTTGGAGAAAAGAAAACTATTTTAGTGATATCCCACTGAACGTATAGAATTTGATGTTTTTGTGGCACAAACGGGTTTTAAAATGTACATACGAAGAAATGTAACTACTGTTAAAATAATGTTTTTAAGGGAACCCAAACTTATTTTTAACAAATATTGAAAATGAATGTTATATTGCAACAGAGACAGACGAAATGAACGAAATCGTATTCTACAAGCATATGTTTTCACAGACAAACACTTTGTATATGCTACGAGAACCATAATCAATAACTGTTTGGCAAGATACAGGAATCCGTACAATATTCTTGTGAAACCATTTGCATTTATTGTGAAAACTGCAACATGTAATGACATTCGTCTTATTATGTGAAACGGAACTTGTGAACAAATACTAATAAAATATTTGGATAATGTTTTAAAATGGATTAACAAAAAGATAATGTTAAGTGTTGAGCAAATTGCATTGGTAAGTAACATTATTAAGATATATTTCTGAAGCATGATCACTGTATTGTTAATGAAATAAATCACACATGACATGCTCTTCCTGCAGGATATAACTAGATGTGTAACATACTAACATACTTAATACTGATACATTAATTAATTTAGGCCATTACTCCTAACTAAACCCATAGAAAGCATTGACTTCACAAAACATAGTTAATATATTTTATATATAATCATCAGATATATTTATTAATACAAAAATTTACCTTGGTAATGTACGGAAGCGTCCTGGTGCCAATTCATAATGTTCTTAAAAAAAACTCCTACGTAAGAGATAAAAAAAACCTAATTAGGAGTTTGTAACTCCTACGTAGGACTTTATAACTCCTACGTAGGACTTTGTAACTCCTACGTAGGACTTTATAACTCCTACTTTAACTCCTACGTAGGAGATAAAAAAGCCTAATTAGGAGTTTATAACTCCTACGTAGGACTTTTTTACTCCTATGTATGACTTTATACCCCCCCCCCCGGCAGAAATTTCAAATCTTAAATCTTAAATATAGAGGACATATACAGAATTTATTTAAGTTTGATTGTGTAGGAAGCTATAAGCTTATAGACACACTTTCGAATCCGTTCCTGGAACCAACCAGTACGTACTTAGCAATGAGTGTAAAGTTTCTTGCTCAAGGAAACAAAGGCTTGCGCCTAACGGGGTTTGAACCCATGCGGCTAGCGATCATTAGGCTACTAGTCACACGGTTATGTCGCCACACTTCACCTTTTAATAAAGTGCCTCAGGTTTCTAGAGTGTACAGTGTCTTAGGGTGAGGTGTCTGTAAGCATTGGCGATGTATCCCGAAAAATTGCTTTACAGCTATTCGAAAAAAACTTACTCGACAACAAGCATATATATCAAAATTTTAAAAGGCTTTAACAATTACGTTTTCCATACAAACTAGCTGAACAAAACGAGCAATTTATCCATTTTCGGCCGTTTCAAATGATTAAATCCTTATAGGGGGCAGGGGGAGTAGTTAAGTGTCTTGTTCCTGCTCCGTAAAGTTTAAGAAGATAACGGTTTGCGGAGCATTATGCATGCATATGTTTAATAATGAATTAAATTGTATATCCTACTTTGAACAAAGTTTTACCCATACATTTTGTGTACATGTGTATGATAATTATAACTAAACGTACATAATACAGAATCATCGTTTAATATATGCAGAGAATAACAAAATCATCTCTGGCTACAGACTAAAGGTATTTACTAAAGCGGCTTGCCACAATTACAACTTGACACATATGAGCCGCGCCATGACAAAACCAACATAGTGGGTTTGCGACCAGCATGGATCCAGACCAGCCTGCGCATCCGCGCAGTCTGATCAAGATCCATGCTATTTGCTATCAGTTTCTCTACTTGTAATAGGGTTTGTAAGCGAACAGCATGGATCCTGATCATACTGCACGGAAGCGCAGGCTGGTCTGGATCCATGCTGGTCGCAAATGCACTATCTTGGTTTTGCCATGGCGCGGCTCATATAATTTATTTTTGCTATCTTAAGTTATACTCTAGCATACATGTCCGTCGAACTCTGTGCTTTCAGTGCTTTGATACTAGTATGTATCCTACGTAGGAGTTATAAAGTCCTAATTAGGCTTTTTTATCTTCTACGTAGGAGTTAGAAAGTCCTACGTAGGAGTTAGAAAGTCCTACGTAGGCGTTATAAAGTCCTACGTAGGAGTTATAAAGTCCTACGTAGGAGTTTAAAAGTCCTACGTAGGAGTTACAAACTCCTAATTAGGCTTTTTTATCTCCCACGTAGGAGTTATAAAGTTCTACGTAGGAGTTACAAAGTCCTACGTAGGACTTATAAAGTCCTACGTAGGAGTTATAAAGTCCTACGTAGGACTTACAAAGTCCTACGTAGGAGTTTAAAAGTCCTACGTAGGAGTTACAAACTCCTAATTAGGCTTTTTTATCTCCTACGTAGGAGTTTATTTTTTTATAGAACATTATGAATTGGCACCAGGACGCTTCCGTTATAATGTCTTACTTTAACATGTAAATGAATGAATGGCAGTTAATATTATAATTTATTATGCTGACCTTTACATACGTATTTTACAAGAAGCTAATGTAATCACCCTTCAAGTCTTAAAATACGAATTCATTTTTCATAAAGCATTCAAAGATTCACATAGCTACCGTACTTGGTATATCTAGAGCGTTTATCACAATAACTATCTCACTGTCTCCGCGGGGCGTGTTTGATTACCTAAATGTCATTTATTACGGGGGGTCAAAGACGTTTGGCCTGCCCGGTTATTAGACTACACCGTGTTATTTAAAGGGGAACAGAATAGTATGATGACTGATTTGGAACGCTTTTGTGCATCGTGTTGGCGCTAGTGACAACAGGACAGAGCGCCAAACGGGTGCATTGTCGGACTTTCGTCTTGACGTCCTGTCGCTAACAATGTACGCTAAAAGCGCGTTGTCGTGGGCGGGGTTGTCGCGATGTCACATTAACGCTCGGTTCAATTCGAAGGATTGGTTTATACGCCAAACGACAGGGCGACATCGCGTCAACGCGGCCGCACGACAACGCGCCGTTTAAAAACGGAAAAAATGTAAAATATGGTGTTGTGTAAATTGTGCAGTTCTAAGTGTATTGAAAAACATAAAATGTGTTAAATTATAATATTCTATAATTTCTGTCAAAAAGCTCGCTTGAGGCTTTGCCTTATTCATATCAAAAATACACATACATGTATAAAATACCTACCAATAAACTTTGAAGTGTTATTTGCTGTTCACGAACGCCGCCATTTTGAATGAAATATCAGATACAAAGTCAACCAATTTTCTGTATTTTTTTTAAATTTTTTGCGTTTAAAGTAGAAATATATTTTGTTTTCTTTATACACATCTTAATATAGAAATATGGCGCATATGTTTTTGTTGTTGTGATACTTTTATCAATTTATCAATGAGATTATATGTCCAATCTATTGCAACTTCTCAGTCCTTCCTCCAGATGTGAAGCATCAGGATTTGTCTGAATGTTAAGCATCGGTCTATAGAGAGATGCCGTAAAACCTCTTCTTTTTTTTTTAATTCAGTTTATTGACTTTTTCTTCATACGCATCGCATGTTTTGGACACATTCCTGTAAAGTTTCATGACCTTAGGTCAACTACTTTTTGAAGTAAACGTGTGACACAAGTTGAAAAATTGCAATTTTTTACCAAGTTAAGGGCAATAAATCTGACAAAACAGAATACATCCACAAGCAAAACCCTAAAAGATGCAGAACTTCACATGCTGAGCAACATTCCTGTAAGGTTTCATGACTCTAGCTCAATTACTTTTTGAGTTACATGTGACACCAGTTGAAAATTGCAAATTTTTACTAAGTCTTGGGCAATAACTCTAAAATACTTAATAAATCCACTCGAAAATACCCAAGAGCACAACTACACATACTGACCAACATTCCTGTAAAGTTTCATGACTTTAGGTCAAATACTTTTGAGTAAAACCTTCGACACAAGTTGAAAATTGCAAATTTTTACGAAGGCAAAGGCAATACTCGAAAAATACCAAATAAATCAACATGAAAATACCCAGGTGCACAACAACACATGCTGATTATTATCCCTGTAAAGTTTCATGACACTAGGTCAAATAATTTTGAGCTACGTGCGACACAAAAATGAGAACGGACGGACAGACAATGGTAATCTAAATGGCCCCCAAAGTTTGGGGCACAAAAAGTACTATATGATCATAATGCCGAGCCGGAGATGCCAATTAAAAATTCTCCAATCTCATAATAGCTGAGTTTCATATAATGGCCGTACTTTTTGCACAATGGCTCGTTTCATGTTCATAATGGCGTGGTGAACTTTAAATAAACCTTAAATTTGAAGTGAAAATATGCCTAATATTGAAAAGTTAATAAATAATGTCAAATAATCGTGGTATTATTTCTTATAAGGTAAAAGAGAAGTGCTATCTTGTCAAAAATTTGGTAATTGCTTGTCAAAAACAGTCTTATTAAGTCTAATAATTGTGTTATTTTGTCCAAATTTAGTTCTGACTGATTTTGTTAAACTGTTCCGTTATCTTCTTAACTTGTCCAAATCATTTGGAACGCCATAGCTGCCTCATGTTACATTTCGTTTTATTGTGTCGCCTCTACGGAGTAGTGGCGACATATAGGGATCACTTCTCCGTCGTCTGTCTGTCCGTCTGTCTGTCTGTCTGTCCGCACTCACAGGAGAGTAATTATGTGGCTAGAGGGACAATAGGTAACTGTTCTTTCTCTTTGATGTCATTCATTCCGTAAAGCTTTTATGTGGCTATTTTCTTTTGTGTGGCTAAAAAGAACAATAGAGAGAACAATAGAGTAGCCACATAATTACTCTCCTGTTAGAACTTCCGTCTGTCCGTCCGTCACAAAACTTGTCCGGACTACTCCTCATAAACTACTGGTGCAATTTCATCCAAACTTTACAGGAATGATCAGTACTAAGTTTAGTTGTGCATATTGTCAGCATTTTCCGGTTCAATGATTTTTGTCAGAGTTATGGCCCTTTAATAATTTTATTTTTAAAGTTTGTCCGGACTACTTCTCTTATACCACTAATGCAATTTCAATGAAACTTTACAGAATTGATCTGTAGGTCAAGTCCTTGCGCATATTGCACTGGTTATCCGGTTGAATGATTTTTGGCCGAGTTATGGCCCTTTGATAAAAAGGTGGTTTTTTTCTGTGTGTTGCCAGATACACAAAAGCTTGTCCGGACTACTCATCATAAACTACTGGTCCAAACTTTACAGGAATGATCAGTACCAAGTCAAGTTGTGCACTGTCCGTCTGTCTGTCCGTCTGTCACAAAACTTGTCCCAACATGAAATTGGCCATCATGAGGCGACACATGTGATCACTGATCGCACTTGTTTTCCTTAAAAGCGTCTTATTATGGTATAATAGTAGTG